TAAATAATTATTCATAGCTTAGTTCACATACCTCTTCTTGGTTAGACTGCCAAGATGATCACTGACCATCAAGCACAAGTTTGTTGTCTCCTTCTCAGCAATAACAGACATAGCATTCAAACTGAAATTAAACTTTACACAGATGCAATTAGGGCCTGGGACCAAAGTGCTTTTGTAGATCTGTCTGAGATCTTTCCAATGAGCCTAAGAACACCTAAATCAGCCAAGTGGATTTAGAGATCTTGATTTTTTAAGTTTCCATGAATTTTTTTTTTAAATTAATCCCTTAATTACCTAGTCAACCGATGCTTTACACATGGCACTTTCTGATTGGCGGGGTAATTATTAGCAACTGACTGGATAACGGTCGAATTAATTATGGTTGTTGGATGGAAGATCGAATGGTCGAGATCTGACAGCCACCAGAACTGAGGGATTTAATTTAAATCGTTGATTGAAATCAATGGCTAGGATTATATCTTCAACCTCCCACGCAAACCCGAAGTTGTGTAGCTATTCCGGCATAATCCACGAGATCCCACTGGCAACCTCCGATGAAATTTCATTGGAAGGATCAGGAAGGTGGAAACCTTCAATCCAACGGTAGAAATCCATTGGGGTGAATGTTTCCTTCACACTTGACCGGACTACCTATCTAGGGAGCTCAGGATCAAAGTCTCACAATGGAGAAAGTCGCAATGAATGGGGTATTTTCTCAAGAAACTTAAGGAGGTGAGGGCAAATAGTTCTCCTTTAGACACCAGGATTAGAGAATGGCCAGAACCTCGACTTTGAGCGGAGTACGAGACGCTTTTGTCACTGTTCGCTCAAACGTATGGACAGGAGCATCCAGGGAGCTGGGGGAAGCGACTGGAACATCAGAGAGCTATGGGGAACAATATTGGGAGATAAATCACAAATGGGGACATCTGCTAGACTGCCTCCCTATTCAACTCACTCCCGTGAGTTGGACGACCGGGATCGAATGGGCTGGGCTTAAGATGGATGCCAGGTGGGAGGGGACATCCTCTCAGAGGGATTGTGTGACTGAAGCCGGTGAGCTCAGCCTTTGGAAGGCTGTGGGTCAGGCCTAAAGTGGGGAGGGGGGGAACCACTAGAGTTCAAACTCCATTGGTTATGGCAGCCTTTAGCTAGGGTTTAGGTTGGGTTGACCTAGAAAGGATGATAGGGACATGATGAGCTCGAGGGTGAGCTCAATAGGACCTGGAGAAATTCAATTGGATTGAATGGCTTGGGTTGACCCAAAACTGGTCGGTTTGGGTCAAATTGGGCTCAACTTAGGTCAGGTCAGACCCTGGGTTTGATTTTAGAAGCAGGTCTGGGTCTAGTGCACCCAATACAAATTGCAATTGGGTTTAAATTGGCCTGATATGGGAGATGGCTAAGGTCAATATGGTTTTTGGATACTTTAGGCTAGCCCAAAAGTTGACCCAAGTCAACCCAAGACTTGGGCTGGCTAGGGGAGGTGTATTAGGTCAAGGAAGACCCAATTGCACCCTAGGTTGGATCCAATTTGGCTAGGATTGAAAAGTGGCTCAATGTGGACCTCACTTTGGGCACTTGGGTCAAGCCAAATGGCCAAAACAAGTGAGCCCAAGGCTTGGGTTTTCAAGAGGGGTCTCTTAGAGGCCTAAGGGGTCGCCCCATGGGTCTAAATAGGATTAAAATGGTGTTGGTCAAATGGTTTAGAAGAATGAGGACATATGGGAGGTTTCGTAAAACTTGGTTGACTTAGTCAACCAAGTTGACCTAGGACCAAGGGTTGGGTCCATTTAATTTAATTTGATCACATAAACTCAATGGGAGGGGTCTCATGCCAATAAGAGGGCATTTGGTTTGAAATGTGCATTTGATCCCTAAGGGAGCACCTTAATCAACCATGGTTGACTTCGATAACCTGGTTGACCCAGGGGCTATGAATGGGTCAGATAGGTCCCAAATAATGTTAGAAGATGATAAAAAAATGTCTCAATTTTTAATGAGGTTAAACCACATTGAATTTTAGTCAAAAGTCCAACAATCCCTTTAAAGGATATTTTGGTCATTTTGACCTCAAGTCTATTCTGGGTCAAATTAAATCCATAAAAATATAGATTAATGCTTAACATATCAATATAAAAGGACTGGAAAGAATCAAAGGGTTTGGAGGTAGCTCCAAGGTCAAATTCCACTGGGTGATATGTCTAGTGGCATGGGTCGTAAATATTTGAAGGTTTTGCAACCTTTGAAAATCAATTTGGTTTCTGGGGCTAGAGTTCTCCAAAGGAGCTCAATTTGAAGGGTTGATACTAGAGACATGTCATATCAATATACGCTTAATATACTTTGAATTAGATGCCAATTCCTTGGATTTCAAGGTGATAAAGAAATCACCTAAAAGGGGTTTCAGGACCTGAGTCCTTGACCCAAAGATTTGGTTTGGAATGTTGAGTGTGGATTGATCTAAGATCTAAATTGATCCTAAGGTTTGGGGACTATAAGGATCCTAAGATCTAGAGTCTAAAAGGAATCTAGATCAAGGAAGTCCTAGGGTCTAGAGTACAAGAGAGATCACGGTGACCTCATACAAAAAGTGAGGTCAATAGATATGAATCACTTGAATGGAAATGAATCAGAAGGTCATAACAAACATGTAGTCACTGTTACATTTGAGTTACGTCAAATTAAATTCTTGTTGGTTATCCAGATTTTGCTTGTTGTTGTTGCCGTCAATTCTCTATCGAAGACTTGTAATTGCAAATGAATGTAACTTAGAATGCTACTAAGAAACTCTTGTGTCTTAGGTTTTAATGAGAAAAAGTTTAAGTTGTTTTGTTATTTGTACTTGATATATGTAAGCACATAAATATTTCTTTTATTTTCATGTTTGGTAAAGACAAACCTAAAGTGGTTTCTAAGTTATTGATTATGTCCTTCGGTGTAATATATGAATTCTTTTTTACAAGATCCTTGATTTCATGAGCAATCTAGGTTACAGTTGATTACTTGTTTCCATCTCTATTTACCCCCTGACATAAATGTGAGTTTGTAATTTTCTAACTTCCAATGAATGGCCATCTAAATATAACGAAGCACGTATTCTCCATGAACATCCACTGTATGTGAACGTAGCAATAACTTTTGATTTGTCACTAGATTTAATCTTTATACCAAAGTTCTGTAAAATTGCATAGGAACAAATAGCTTGTTTAAAACTTGATGAATCATCAAAATGCGAACCAACACATAAAAAATGCTTCTCTTCAACCTGACCCTCAAAGCCACCATCACACAACCCGTCTATTATAATGTCATTGTTCACCCTGTTGCTCTCACTTATATCTTGCATATCACTATACTGAATGTTATCAACATCACTCAAATTTTCGTCAAAATCTTTCACTACAACCACCAACTCAACTTTATTATCATTACAGGAACATGTAAACATGTCCATTACATCTCTATCATTATAAATCAACATTTAAATTTTAGGCGATGTTCCATTAACATGATAGTGTATGTCTTAGGCTTAACCCCGCAGCCACCGGCAAAGTGATTCGATTTGTTCTTTCAATAGTAACAAATTAATATAACCTCTTTCAAGCTTCAAAACAATCATATATCTTCCATATTTGAAGATAATATAATATAAATTATTGCAGTCCATTTATGCGAGTCCAATTATTAATGAAAAATAATTAAGAATTAGCATGAACAAGAACAGAAAATAGACAAATAGAAGCATAAATGGAGAATGAATAAAGTACCAGCATGATAAAATGAAGCAGAACAAGAATAAGTTCAAATAATTAATTTCCTTTATGTATAATCTTCAACCTGAATAAAGATCCGGCTGCCAAAATGAATAAAGAAAATAACCTGAATAGAACTGACGGCCAAAATAAACTGGCGGGAATTTTGCACCGGCGTGGAGAAAGTGATGTTTGCATCGGCGGGAGAAAGTGATTTGGCAAAAGTAATTTTAGAGAGTTATTCAGATGTTTGCACCGGCAAGACGTTTGCACCTGCAGGACATTTGCGCCGACGTTAGTTTGATGGTAAAAAGCGAAGGGGAGCTGCTCTATATCTCAAAATGGAGATTGTATTTGGAGAAGATGCAACATGAGAGAGCTACAGTCAACGCAAGAGAGCTACAGTCAACACAAGAGAGCTACACCAAGATGTTTCTTATACGCGAGAGGCTGTTTTCATGACTTATTTTTGACGAGAGTAGACAAAATGTTAAATTTGATGAGGATTAGGTCATTATGGTGGTATAACAATAAAAAATAATGTTTAGATGTGAGATAAGTAAATAAAGATGTTTTGGGTGTTATGCATGTAAAAATCCCAAATAAGAAATGAGGATTGAGAAAGTTTCCTAGAATTAATAAATAAATATAATTATTAAATAAGTAATTAAATAAGGTATGCATAACTAATTTTTAGCTATATAATATTCAAAGTATCATGGAAATTAAATAAGTAATTAAATAAGGTATGCATAACTAATGTTATATGAGGAAAAATAGCTAGTGATATTAAGAATGTTGTAAAATATGTGCTTCGAGTATTAGGAGGAAAAACTCGTAATAGTAAAAATAGTTGGTAGTCGAATTAAAATATGCAATAAAATATAAAAAATAAAAAGCTTTGTTATAAAAATTATTTTAGATGTAAAACTATAAAATATATATATATATATATATATATATATATATATCAGCTTTATAAAATTTTTAACATAAATTTAGCAAAATATTTACATCAGAAAATTAATATGAACAACAAAAATTTTGACATAACTATAAAAAATATCAACAAATATTAACAGAAAAATAAAAATATTAGAAGAAAGCGTTAATAAAAAAATTTATAAAATAAACTCGAAAAATTATATGCAAAATTGGCAAATTATTTTGAAATTTAAATTCCTAGTTAAATTTTTAATTAAAATATGTCTGCTTATTTCTTTTAATTGATGAGCTTCTTAAAATTTGGCTTTTTTTTAATAAAGGAAAACCACGGATGAACCATCCCTAGCGCTCATCAACGACTACCCCATACTGCCACCGCCTCTACGCCCGACCTCGAATCCTCCTTGATAACCACTGTCACTAGCGGTAGCTTATCTCTGAGGTTGTCTGAGGTCCGACAAAGGGCACTTTTTTGTCTCCCGAGCCTCAAGCATCTGGAGACTCTCAATTACCTTAAACCTGCAACGTACTCTATCTACCCGAATGTTGCGTGCATTAATGGCGTTGATTTTCGATTCCGAACCACAGAATGGATGGACGAGGGGAAATACCAAATAGGTTTAAGCTTCTATTGCCATTTTTTGTCGGAATCAGAATGAGTTAGGGTTCAATATCATCATTATTGTATTAAGGAAGGCGTAGTTTGACTGTGCCATTAGGTTTTTTTTTTTCTTTTCTTTTTACCATTTTCCTATACGGTTTTCTTGTTTTGCGTTGGTGGCGTGGAAGTTGCAGTTGTGTTTATCAGATTTTATGGTAAGAGGTTGAAGATGAAAACTGAGTTCGTTTGTGGAGAAAGTGAACAAATTTAAGGCAATTTCGTTGTGCTTTATTTAGATGGAACCATTTGGAAGCTTGCTACAAATCTTGAATCTGAGAATGCTATATATGTACTGTTCTTAAGTCAACCAAAATTTAAGTTATGATGTTATTCACCGTGGGCTTCATGTTAAGGGCGATTGTTTTTTGCTCTCTTAATTCTAGTGTTTAGCTCTAGCCTTGATAATCTATTTGATATTTTGATGTGGTAATATTTAAGCATGATTGACTTTTGTAAGTGTGTTATTTGCATACTTTTGTTCTCATTTGTCCTTACAACATTGCTTGAGCATGTTGTTTCTCTACAATAGTTATCTGTGTTCTTCTTGTAACTTTATCTTCAATCTTGCAGGTCTTCAAGAGATTTTATACATCTAAAATTGGTATTATTATATGCCCTTTTTAGCAGTTTGAGAAGTTATCCATGCTTCGTATTCGTTTTTCTAGTTGATGGTTTCATTTTGAGATTGTTGTGTATGGGTTTTGCATACCAGCAAGATGGGAAGAACGGACGTGAGTAATGATGTATCTAGGAGAAATCCTATTGAAGGTACCTCAGCACGGACAAGAGCTTTTAGTTTTGAGGAAATTATGTCAAGGAGAAAGAAGAAAGAAAACTCAAATGCTAATGAATCAGACATTAAAATACATGAGTCTTTTGAAAATGCTAATGATACCCAGGATCACTCAAGGCATGATGTCCATCTCCAAATTAGGAGTCCTTCAAAAAAATTTATGAAAGAGCGGTCCAAAAAGAAAGAATCAACTTCTAAGAGGGAGAGAGATGCCATAGAAAGGAAACATACAAGTTCACGAGATTTAGAAACCGATGCGAAGGTGAAATCTATCCATGGTAAAATCAGTAGAAACCAAGAAAGCACTGAAGAAAAGTATAGCCGACATTCAAGTAAAAGTGCTAAGTTACTTGCTACTGAATCTGAGAAGGCATCAAGAAAGAAAAGAGTCAAAGATTTTGATGAGAATGATAAGTATGATGAGCATTATAGGATATCTAAGAGGGATAGAAAAGGCGATTATCATTATGATGATAAGGGCAGATCAAAAAATGATTCCAAGAAATATAAGAAACATGAGTCTATCAAATTGCAGGATCTGAAGTATTCAGGATCGAAAGGTCATAAAAAGTACCATCTTGAACCTTCTTATGATGATCCTAAATTGAGAAGGAGAAGATCTAGGAGCTTGGAGTATTATCGAGAAGAAAGAAGGTCCGGTTCTATGTCACCTTTGTCACAAAAGTATTCCTATGATGGAAAGGACCACGGAGAGTGCCATAAAGACAATTCAAAGAAGAAACATTCAGATGGCGATAGATACAAAACTTCAGGTAATGCTGGCTATTCTAGTGGACATCACCGGAAACATAGAAGTGGACTTGGCGGCTACTCCCCGAGGAAGAGAAAAACTGAGGCAGCTGTTAAGACCCCATCCCCAACAATTCGCTCTCCAGAGAGGAAAATTGCTACATGGGATCAGCTTCCCTCAGGAACCAGCATTACCAATTCTGGATCCATTTTTGCAAGTTTACCTCTGATTGCTACTAAAGTTGTTGAAGCTGTATCATCTATTGCCGTTACACCAGCAACAACAAAAACACACCCTGCAACTTCAATTGACTCTGGGTCTGTGACTATTAATTCTTCAATCGAGTCAGTTCAACTCACCCAAGCAACCCGTCCTTTGAGGAGGCTTTATATTGAAAACTTACCTTCGTTGGCATCAGAAAAGTCTGTGATTGATTGCCTCAATGAATATTTGGTCTCATCTGGTGCCAATCACATACGAACAACCAGACCTTGCATTAGTTGTATTGTATGTATCAAGCTTACCATGTTTGGAATTGATATGTTGCTTCCTGGTGGGATTCTAATGAGTGGCTATTCATTGTATTTTATGCAGATAAATAAAGATAAAGCTCAGGCTCTTGTTGAATTTCTGACACCAGAGGATGCTACTGCAGCTCTTTCTTTTGATGGTAACACCTTAGCTGGATCAGTTCTCAAAATGAGACGTCCTAAAGATTTTGTTGAAGCAGCAGTAAGATTCCATCCTTAACTAGCCTCACATTAAAATCTTTTGGTTTTTGTTTGATGGTTTCCATAACCAATTAATTTGTGTGCTGTTTTCTGTTTTTCTAATATGATCGAGTGATAATATTGTGCCAGGAAGTTCTTGAATAGCATCTAGGCAAAGTTCAGTTTTATCGATCACTTTTATACTAGACATGAGTGCATCTGGTCTTTTCCAGGCTTACCTCTCATATTGAGCTATTCTCATTTTCCAAGCAATTTGCTAGTTGACTTGCGGTTTCTGAACCATGTCAAAATGTTAAATAGAAGTGATTCACAGTGTCACTTTTCCCCACATCATATACTCTGTTATCTAAAGCTAAATATGCCACTTAATTAAAATTGAATACCATGCTTGTTTTCATTTGACCTCATCTCCCTTTCACCCTTTATTCTAATAAAGTTTAAATTCTTTCACTTTTTTCAAATACATGGAAATTTTATATTAGTTACAGTTCTCGTTATCTTTGGTTAACTCAGTAACATAAATTGTATTAAATTTATGAAATTTTACACTTTCATTTCAATCATGGTTGTGATGATGGCTTGTGGAGGAAAGCCTCATCAATCTGTTCCAGTAAAAAATTGTTAAGTCGTTTGCCTAAGATGTGCTTTACAATCGTAAGCATGCATGCTTTCTTTATACATTGCAAGCATTGGCTTTGAAGTTAATGGCTGCTATACATTAGGAAGAGTCCTGAAGGATGAAACAAAGCCTCGCAGGAGAACTTCATATTAATGCTATACATTAGTAAGAGTCCTGAAGGATGAAACAAAGCCTCGCAGGAGAACTTCATATTCGCGCTAAAGTACATTTAAAAAGAAAGATATTACAAGCTTTCTCTTAGAGTTTAATATGATCGAACCTAGGAAGCTTTACTTTATTCCAAAGTCCAAATTTTTTCGAAGCTAATTTGGCGAATATGTTAGTTAAGCTTCATGTTTACTGTTTTCTATGGATATAGAAGTTTTTGTGTTCTATCTGTGGTCTTTAAGAGCGAAAGAATCTTGTGTTCTGCAATGAAGCTTATTTTGTTGCAAGGAATCATTGTAATCTTAATAAATATGATCACTTGATCATATGGACATACATAATATACAGATTTGATTTTGTTCATTTGTATGGAACCACTGTTTTTTCTATGAGATATTTATGTACATCCCACAAAATTCTTATATATTTACGTATCTTGCACCTAAAACTGTATATTTACTTGTATGATATTTAAAATTTTTTAATCACATTAAATATTATTAATGTTAACTTATTTAAAATAAAATACACCTTTTCATGTATTTGCTTTAATGTGATTTAGACATTAAAGTGGCATATAAGTAAATATAAAAATCAAGGTTTTAGATGTATGAAAACATAAAGAATTTTGTGCTATGTATGTAAATCTTCATTTTTCTATACATCATATTAAACTAAGTTGGTACTGGACATATTACCTGATGAGTGACTAATGTCATCTATGAGCAATGCCAGCATGCAATATTGCAATATATTGTCTCTAAATCAGTAAATTAACCTTTCTAGCCACTAATAGTGGATTATATTAATTGCTCACATCTCTATAGCATCCATTGCAAAATGAATATGATCACATCTGCATTTATCTCATTGCATACAACATTTCATATGAATTTATTAAATCTTATTTGTTGGTAGCTATGCAAAGAATTCTGTGATACTATGGTTGTCTATTATAATGTTAATATTGAATTGCTGAAAGCAATTTTATAACAAATGGATGGCAGTGAGAGACTCCTGCAGATCGTGGTCTGGAGAAGTTGATATATGCATTCTCACCTGCATTATAAAGATATGTCCATGATTCTAATTTGTGACCTTTAGTTCATAATGAAGGCAATCTAAGAATTTCTCTAATCCTATCATGATAAACAAAATAGATATTTACATCTGAATTCTTTTTATTAATTTCCACCATGAATGTTGTTTTCCCTAAACTGTTAGGGGCCAATGTTTGTTTGTTTATGATGATTTTTTCTTGCTTGTTCCCAATTTGAATCCGTAGTTCACCAACACATGTATTCTGTTTTCATTGTCATTTATTCTTTTAAATTCCACGTAGTTTGACTGCACATAATGTTTATAGCAATCACCGTGATATCTTTTCAGATTGTTGTTTCTATAGAGAATAATTTCACTTAATATTTGTAACCAATGTGACTACCTGTATTCCTAATACACATGAATTTCTTAGTTTGATGACATTATTTTCTGCAAAATCAACTTGTTGTGGTCGGACAATGATACATAATTGAACTTTTGGGACATGGAATCTAATAGTCCACGTTATTTATTGTGTTTGATCATCTATACTGTATAAAAGTAAGACCTATTAGGGGAACAAATAGGTTGGTTGGTGGCTTATGTGTAAGAACAATTATAGACACATTTGTGAACCTTTTAGATCACTCAGAATCCCTATAATATTGATTTTCCAATTGTTAGGTGTTTCATCGGGAGATCTTTATTAATTTATATCACACTATTCATTTTCATTCCTTATACGTAAATTGTATGACAGGTTGTTCACTAATTTCTAAAAACTTATGCTCTAGGTATATTTGTGTTTTCATGCATTCTGTGAAAAAAGGAACTTTGTGATGCAATATTCCAAATTCAGCTTGGAAGAATCTTCACTATTGCTTTGAGATATTCTCAGCATCTTATTTATTTTCCCAGTCATTAGTTTTGTTTGTTTAAGGCATGATATCTTGGTATCCTTAGATGAAAGCTTATCTGACAATCATGTTGGAATCTCTTTCAAATAGGGTATTTTTGTTGGGTGTGTCATAATTCACATTCAGGATCGTGACAAAGAGAGGACTTTTTATAGCAGAATTCAAGATGTAGTGCAACATTGATGAAATTGCTGCTTATTTCAGAAATGATACCTGCTAGCTGATCTTGAATGTTGGTAGGGTCCTTTCTGGTGACATGTCCTGTGGTGTTTACTTTAACTCTATAACCAAATTTACAAAATGATAGCAGACCATTCCTTCTTAGTGGTCTTGGTACAAGCTTGAGGTTAGTATCTGACCGTGCAATGAGGTTATCATTTGAGATGCACATTTTGTACCATCTACAAAAAATTTGCTCCCTTCACAGATTATTTCTCTTATGGAAGGTATTTTTGTGGTCTTAACAGTGTGCGTTGAGATATCAAATTAATTGTAGATTTGTTCCATTTACTCAAATTGTTTTGTGTGGTGTTTGCCTGCATGCATGAATTCTTTATTTTTACCAGCAATTTTTTTTTTTTTTGAATGTGTCAATATATTTCTACTGAGACGTATAGCAATTGCGGTTGATTTTAGTTAATTGAATAAATTTGTCTTCTGTTGGGTTGTTTAGTCTATTCCTAGCTTCTATACTTGTTCTTTACCTTCGTTGATCTTTTTTATGTTATCTGAAATAAACCCCCTTTTTTAACAAAAGCAAACTGTCCAAAGGCTCATCTAGGTAGCACATAACTATCAAGCAGCTTTAAATTTCATTTACTGCTTCAAATTGTGTCTGAACTAAAGTAGACTCCTTGACTTGTTGAAACTTTCTTGATATTTCACTTAGCTTGTGTTGACAATTCCTTTGATGTGTGAAATGGTTCCAATAAACTTCATTCATTATTTTAATCATTCATATCAAAATATCTACGAGCTCCTTCTGTCTTTAATTTGCAAAACTATTTCTATGATTGCTTTTATTTTTAATACAGGGTTTTATAGTTTCCAGTTAAATCATGTCAGATTTGACGTGCTTGGAGAAATGTATGTCAAATGTGAACCATCAGTTTCTACATACTTCCTGCATTGTTTTGATCTTTAATGAATCTTTTGTTTTGCAATATTTGGAAATATTATTAAGCTGTTCATCTTGTTTTTTTTTTTGGATTAGTGTGGCAGCTTAATTTCCTATTTGCTGTGAGTGTTATATTTAAAGCCTATCTCTTGGGCATATACGAAATTAGTTACTTTTTTTTAAATGCAATGCATATGAAAAGAACATTTACCAGTTTTTTGTTATTTTATGCTATTGTCTGCCCTTCCCTTTATTGTAATCTCCACTTAGGCATTTAATCTCTTTATGTTGTTTGTTTAATTGTTTCTGGTATATAGTACGATGAACAGTCCTTATTAGCTTCTTCTGGACAAGATATTTATGCTTAGTCCTTTTATGCCTGATGCGGAGGACATGGGACTATGATGTACTGGATCTGGTTCTGTATCCCTATTACTCTTCCGAAGTCTGTCAACTAGGAGGACAGGGAAAATATAATCTAGTCTAGGAATGTTTTAATTTCTTGGAATTGTTTCAGTTAAGGTTCCCCTTAACACCTAGGATTCTTCGAATTACACCAAGGAAGAGAGCCCGGCTAGACTGCCATATTCGTGATGAAAATTAACTTATTTCCAGCTGAAGAAAGTTTTCAAACAATCAAAACAAAGAAATAGTTTATCTTTTTAAGAAGGTTTACAATGTTAAATCATCCGGACTCTGTCTGAATCAATCTATCCACTTAATAAAAAAAA